TTCATAGAGGGGAGTAGAGATACACATGGCAGCGTAAAAAGTGAGTTTTGCATAAATATGTCCCCTTTCAAAGAATTTGCCTCACTTGAGCATCCTAGAACAAAGAAGAAAACTCTGGAAAGATTAATAAACAGCCTCAGGTGAGAAGCGCATGAGGCCTTTAACACAGAGTTTGAAAATTACTTTACCACAGAAAAGAAAAGCCTCGACCCAAAAGATAAAAAAGCTGCAGTGACTTCACAGACTTGCCTATTGGGATTCAAGATCTGAGCCAAACATTTCCTCTCATGATCAAAGCATTCCCGCACTCCCCTTTAAGTCCTTGACTTGCTTTTTAATCCAAGGAGTACAGGAGAAGCTGAGCACGGCGTCGACATTTTCCCTTACATCTGCATGCTGCACTCTCTCATCAGTTGCTGGTTTCAAACTGCCCTATAGGATCCTGCTCTTTGTGCTCCTTCTTCTCCTGCTGCATGATGACTCCTACATAACGTTAGTGTCACTGTGGGCTTGCAACGAGCAGGATCTTGGCTCAGTAGTTCAGAGCAGTTTTATCTACAGCTCAGTGTTTATTTGAATGCTGATACAAGCTGTCTTCCTCTCATCTAGCATTGTTATACACGTCGGACTCATTATCTGCAGCCTCTGTAGATATATGCATTGTGCTCAGAACTTTTGGGACTCCTTTAACCCCACTCCGCTCTCTTTAATTGCTTTGGATACTAAAGAAGCACTTTTTAATTCTCCTTCGGAGTGACATTTTGTTTACCGTCTGTGGATTCAGCACACGATTATGACTTTAATCATACTCACTGACTGGTGTGTAAATAGCAAAATAAATAAATAAATACACAAGCACACTGCTAAACACAGACTGATCTATTCAGATCTCACCTCCACTGAGAGGCAGAATGAAGAAGCAGGGAGCTCGGCGTTCTCTGTGACACCATGTATTCACCTGCCTTCACTCCCACTCGGCCGACCCACACAATGAAATTCTCTGCTCGCAGACAAATTCATCTCACATTTCATTCCTTCTTTTGTCCTGAGTTGGACTGTAAATCATTCTGTGATGCCTTTGGCAAGTTTAAGGTCATTTTGTTCTTCTTTTAAAGCCCTCAATTTGCTCATTGTTTCAATAATTTTGCCATGGTCTCTGGTGTAAATGAATGCTTTTGAGTTGTTTTCTTGGGAATAGAAGCTCTGGCACTCCTGTTTCAGGAAGTCGAAAGTAACTGGTAGCCTAGAAACTAGACAAACCATAGAAGTGGCAAATATTGCTTTGCAGATCGGGCTAGCCGTGTTCCCTCGTAGCATCAGCAGGTCTACCATTGGCCCAAACAATGTAGAGAGATATGCTTTGTTTGAGGAAAACTATGAAGATGGCATTGACTTAGGAAAGGTGCTCATTTGAAGCAGCTTTGGCACTTTGACACTGGACGATTTAGACTTGAGCTTTTCTTCAAGTCAAGAGCAGATTTAAGTACTTCAGTTCTTTGTTTAGGAAAAGGATATACTGCATTTGCTTCTTCTTCGATGGTGTATGGTGGACTGCCCCATTGACTGATTTCCATTGCTATGTCATGTTATTTGTTGCTCTGATTGGTCCTAGCACTGTCCAAATGCATGGGGAGACAGTTTGAAAGACAACTATAGATCACCTTATCACGACTGAGCACTGTCTACGTGTCGTGGCCAGACTATTTTAATACAGGTCCATCTAAAAAATTAGCATATTGTTATTTTCTGTAATGTACTGATAACCATTAGACTTTCATATTTATTAGATTCATTACACACAACTGAAGTAGTTCGAGTCTTTTATTGATTCTAATATTGATGATTTTGGCATACAGCTCATGAAAACCCCAAATTCCTATCTCAAAAATTAGCATATCATGAAAAGGTTCTCTCTCCAGGTACTCCGGCTTCCTCCCACCATCCAAAAACATGACTGTTAGGTTGATTGGTCTGTCTAAATTGTCCTTAGGTGTGAGTGTGTGTGTGCATGGTTGTTTGTCCTGTGTGTCTCTGTGTTGCCCTGCGATGGACTGGCTCTCTGTCCAGGGTGCACCCCGCCTAATTGCCCGTTGACCGCTGGAGGTAGGCACCAGCCCCCCCGCGACCCTACGTGGACTTAGCGGGCTCAGAAGATGGATGGATGGATGGCCTCCAGTTCAGTGGCCTAGTGGTAGAGTGTCCGCCCTGAGACTGGGAGATCAGGGTTCAATTCCTGGTCGGGTCATACCAAAGACTTAGAAAAAATGGGACCCAATGCCTCCCTGCTTGACACTCAGCATTACGGGGTTGGATTGGGGGGTTAAACCACCAAATGGTTCCCGAGCGCGGATGTGTCTGCAGCTCACCGCTCCCCCAGGGGATGGGTCAAATGCGGAGAACAAATTTCGCACACACATCAGTGTGTGTGACAACTGATGGGACTTTAACTTTAACTTTAAAAGATTCTCTAAACGAGCTATAAACCTAATCATCTGAATCAACTAATTAACTCTAAACACCTGCAAAAGTTTCCTGAGGTTTTAAAAACTCCCAGCCTGGTTTATTACTCAAAACCGCAATCATGGGTAAGACTGCCGACCTGACTGCTGTCCAGAAGGCCATCATTGACACCCTCAAGCAAGAGGGTAAGACACAGAAAGAAATTTCTGAAAGAACACGCTGTTCCCAGAGTGCTGTATCAAGGTACCTCAGTGGGAAGTCTGTGGGAAGGAAAAAGTGTGGCAGAAAACGCTGCACAACGAGAAGAGGTGACCGGACCCTGAGAAAGATTGTGGAGAAGGACCGATTCCAGACCTTGGGGGACCTGCGGAAGCAGTGGACTGAGTCTGGAGTAGAAACATCCAGAGCCACCATGTACAGGTATGTGCAGGAAATGGGCTTCAGGTGCCGTATTCCCCAGGTCAAGCCACTTTTGAACCAAAAACAGCGGCAGAAGCGCCTGACCTGGGCTACAGAGAAGTAGCACTGGACTGTTGCTCAGTGGTCCAAAGTACCTTTTTCGGATGAAAGCAAATTTTGCATGTCATTCAGAAATCAAGGTGCCAGAGTCTGGAGGAAGACTGGGCAGAGGGAAATGCCAAAATGCCTGAAGTCCAGTGTCAAGTACCCACAGTCAGTGATGGTCTGGGGTGCCATGTCAGCTGCTGGTGTTGGTCCACTGTGTTTTATCAAGGACAGGGTCAGTACAGCTAGCTATCAGGAGATGTTGGAGCACTTCATGCTTCCATCTGCTGAAAAGCTTTATGGAGATGAAGATTGAATTTTTCAGCATGACCTGGCACCTGTTCTCAGTTTCAAAACCACTGGTAAATGGTTTACTGACCATGGTATTACTGTGCTCAGTTGGCCTGCCAATTCTCCTGACCTGAACCTCATAGAGAATCTGTGGGGTATTGTGAAGAGAAAGTTGAGAGACGCAAGACCCAACACTCTGGATGAGCTTAAGGCTGCTATCGAAGCATCCTGGGCCTCCATAACACCTCAGCAGTGCCACAGGCTGATTGCCTCCATGCCACACCGCATTGAAGCAGTCATTTCTGCTAAAGGATTCCCGATCAAGTATTAGTGCATAACTGAACATAATTATTTGAAGGTTGACTTTTTTTGTATAAAAAACACGTTTCTTTTATTGGTTGGATGAAATATACAATTTTTTTTTAGATAGGAATGTTGGGTTTTCATGAGCTGTATGCCAAAATCATCAATATTAGAAACAATAAAAGGCTTGAACTACTTCAGTTGTGTGTAATGAATCTAATATATATGAAAGTCTAATGTTTATCAGTACATTACAGACAATAATGAACTTTATCATAATATGCTAATTTTTTGAGAAGGACCTGTAGTGAGCCAGAGAAGAGAGGGGCAGAACATGGCAGGGTTTTGAGTTTTGCTCATTAATATTCAGGATATTCTAACATCTCGCCTCTGATTGGCTAACAGCAACACTATTTCACTGACTGTTCACACTGCAACATTGATGTTTATCTCCCCAAATAACACAAGCCTGAAGGAGTTCTGTCATTTTGTGGAGGTGCTAATGCTGACGTTAGCTTCTACTAGCCAAGAAGTGCTCTGCTCTCTCCTGGATGCAAACATCAACACAGTCTTCTGCGGTCGTGAGCCAAGATGTGCGAGTCTGTGAGTTAAAATTCACAGTGTAACATAGATCTGTGTGACTTTTTCTGACCTGACCATTCCCCTTCTATTTTCTAATGCAGGAAATAGGGGTAGAAGACCGTTTTCACATTCAGCCTGCATATGAAAGTCAGCTTGGCCAATCATGTTTCAAAAATAGCAACTAGTTTCTCAGTGGACTTGCTCTTTAAGAAAGAGAAACTAATAGCCTTGAGAAAGTGATTGGTTCACCACGCACGTAGTCACCGCTCAGCCAACCATACCCTACTCTGTGCAAGAGAAAAGCCCTCTCTTTGAGCACTCTTCCTCCTTTTCATCTGCCTCCCTGCTCAAGTATCCCAGAATCCTTTTGTTGAAATAATCACACAGGCTTTACCTCACACACCTGTTTCAGAAGATGCTCAACCCTCATCTCGTGCAAGTCGCTCGTTTGATTTTCTGCCTGCTACTCTGTCGCTTGCATGCTCTTCCTTTGTTTCTTGCAGAGGAATCTTCTCTGCAGCATCACAATAAAACATGTCCCCTCGACCCAAATCCCCAAAGCCTGCTTTATAATTGATTCACAGAATACTGCTTCTTCTTTTACATCAGCCACAATGTGTCATTATCCGCAACACAATTATATCCTCTTATCCTCCCACTTCGTCCCCCTGGAAGATCTAAACTTCACTGAGCAAACGTATCCGTGACTCATAAAACTAGATCTCTCTTCCATTACCGGAATAGATAACTTATAGAAATCCAGCAGCACTGTGTAGCGTAACCGGTGAGTAGGCAGCGATGTTTAATCAAGTGATGAAGAGCAGCAACCAAACAGCAAAGGAAGAGGAAGGGGTGCTCACATGGTCTCATCGTTTTGAAACTCCAGCTTGCCAGATACTTCTTCGTAGTCCTCCCCCGCTTTGGCGGTGCCCTCAACAGTGTGGTAGGGAACGGCCACCTTCCCCCTCGCCCCGGACGTCCGGTGAACCTTCACCTGCATGTTACCGATGCTCTCACTGACCCTTGTCGACTTGCTCTCAAATGTAAAGATGCCAGCATGGTCATCATCATAGATGGTGACGGTGGCGATGGGAGCGTTGCCCAGGGTCGCCTTTGGTGGACCATGAGAAGACAAGCCAACGGTGCTGTTGCTGGAGGTGATGGAGCTCGGCTCCAGGATAGAGACCTCTGCCCGGTGGACAATGCGTGGGTTACTGAGGCGCACGTAAAAGTGTTCATCCTCTTCAAAAATGTCATCATCAATAACGCCGACGGTGAACTCTTTTGTTGTTTCGCCAGGCTTGAAGACCAAAGTGCCCTCGGCGAATTCGTAGTCTGAGCCCGCAGTGGCTGTTGCGTCCTCTGTCCGGTAGTCCACCTGTGTGAGACAAGCAGAGAGAAGCGTTATGAAACATTCAGTGAAATTAAACATTGAGTGGGGCTGTAATAAAAAACTAAATTGCTAATAATTCACAACTCAAGTAGTTAGATCTGTGTTTAAATTCACCTTGAAGCATTCCCACTGCTTCCAACCCCAGTTTTCCCTCTTACCTTCACAGTGCAGCCGGCTTCTCCTCCGTGCCGGCTCACTGAGAGCTTCAGGGAACCACAGTTCTCAAAGCATTGGTAGTGAGAGGGCTCAAACTGTAGGTAGATGGTGTTGGGATCCTCCTCTTGTCCGCTGGCCTCGTGACAGCTCACCACCTTTCTGGCCTGGTCAGCGGCGTGCTTCTTCAGGATATTTCCTGCTCCGATCATCATGCGTGTGGCTTGGATGCGATAGAAGGCTCGACTCTTCTGCTGCTGGACCAACACTTGGTAGTTGGCCATCTCGATCAGCTGCTCCATGTCTTTCTCTGGGTGTCTCTGTTTCAACTCCTTCAAAGTTCGCGCCATCTCCCGACGAGCTTCTTCTTCCTGATCTTGCTCTGGACTCATTCCTCCACCTTCCTCCACCCCCTCCAGCATCCCATCCAGAGCCTCCTTGGTGTGAGTGTGGGAGTTTGCCCCCTGCCCGTCCATCTCCAAGTCCATCTTAGTGAACATGGCATCACCCTCCGATTCGATGATGATGCCGCGGGACTTGTCGGCACGGTAACGTCTGTGGACATACTTGTAGAAGAGCAGGCGTCTGTCTGCGATCCATGCTTGCAGCACACAGAGAGGGAAAAAGAGGAAGGTGAGGACAGCCTCCCATACCTCCACCTCTCCGGGGGAGAACACAGATAAGATGAGGTACAGCCAGATGTAGGCGAACACGCTCCAGGCAGCCGTGACAAAAAATACCCTCAGGTGTTTTATCTTGCGGGTCTCACTTTCTGGCACCACGTACACGCAGATAGCAATGATTATGAACATGTTGAACGCGGCGCTGCCCACGATGGTGCTGGGCCCCAGAGCTCCGGCTTCAAAGTTGTGTCCAACCACTTCAATGACAGAGAGCAAGATCTCTGGTGCTGATGAGCCGAGCGCCATTAGCGTCAGATTGGACACTGTCTCATTCCAGATGCGCACAGTAGTCGTTGTGGTTTCACCGTTTGGCTTTTTGATGGTGATCTCCTTTTCCTGGGAGGTAATGACCTCAATTGAAGACATGAAGCGATCAGCAATGATGGACATGCCCAGGAACATGTATATAAGAGCCGCAAAGTAAACAATGGCCCGGGCCACCTTGTCGCCAACGGCAGGGTTCTGGGGATTCCACATAGGCAGCACCACACCCTCTGAGCAGTTATCCTCACTGGAGCAGTTTCCAGGAGAGCTGCTGGGCTCTTCATAGCTGGGGCTGCCATCGGAGAGGTGAGCGACTCCCGGGAGGAGAACCAGCAACAGGGAGATGAACAAACATGGGCTGACAATCATGTTGGCGGGAAGGTGTTTGTAGTTCATGCAAACCTCTGTAAGAGAAGGGAAAAAGAGTTTGAGAGGTGGATAAGAAATATTTTAACCAGTATTTTAATCCTGAAATGCCTTAAGTCCAACAATGTGAGATATTGGGACCTACTTATGATTGAGTCACTGATATTGACCAATCCAGTCAAACACCTGCACATCCTGTATAATGTGGCCATCGTGCACTAAGAAATGTTACGCTCTGCACCTATTATCCAGGGAAAACACACACCGTTAAGTTTGATCAGATTTCTTAAATAATTTGCTCCTCAGCAGGCCTCTTTCAAAGATCACTTCAAGGTAATTCTCATGAAAGCTTCATGCAATATATGGTTTAATATTAAATTGTAGTAAACACCTCTATTTTTGCACTCCACCAAAGCTATGTCAGGGGAGAACTTAAAATAATTCCACAGTGGCTTTCTTGGCAGCAGCATTTTAACGGCTTCAATGAATAATTCACTCTGCTGCATAAATACTATTCAAAGGATCAGTATCTGCAGCTGCAGGAACGCTGGAAAAAAAGGACAGAAAATGTCAATTATTTTAATCCAACGCCTACAAATCAAAACATTAAGAGCATCTACATCTCAGGAATGGGTTTCCTATCAGCGGTGCTTCCGACTAGTGTGCGTACAGCACACACTCTCATTGACATGCAGCAGAGTGAAGCAGCATCCTTCACTCTGACCTATAATGGGAAAGTGTGCTTTTTGTTGAGAAGTCATCACAGGGTGGAGCAGCACAACACAGATGTTGATATTAAGTTTTGATTTGTTTTCATTAGCTCACAAATGAGCGACTAACAGGCTGTGTTTGTGCAGCACCTGTCTGCTCGTCTCAGTGAAGTCAGCACCATGGAGAGCACCAACTGGAAAAGAAAGGGCTCATTTCTGCAGACAACAGATGCAACTAAACTACAAAATAAAATGCAAGTGCCTTCTTTCTGGCATGCAACCCTGCACAAATGTGTGTGGGTGACGTTTCTATGGCAAAAGCAAGCATTCCAACTGGTGCTGGAATGAAATATTTCTTCTGACTTAACATGTCGATCCCATATTGTTTTCTCTTATGTAAATTCTTTTGACTGAGATTCGTTCAGAGCCTGCTTTTTGTTTCACTTGATATTTGAGGTGACACGATTCTTCAGACACACCGCAGGGAAAATGTGATTTGCTAACGGAGCGTTCAGACTGAACAAGGTACAACTTTCTGCTTGTCCAACAAGCTGGACTTACACCGCCTTCCCTTGTATACCTGAGTAACCCTAGCTACACATGACTGAGTCTATTCCTGAAGCTGTATGTCTGCGGTTAACACCACCCTAAGAGGTGTTTGCTGACAGCTTTAGGGGGAACATGTTTTAGACTTCAAAGTAAAGAAAAATCCAATAAGCCTGCTTCCAAGAATAAGCTGAGCTGAACACTCTCACCTGTTGTGCTCCTTCTCCCTCAAACAAATGAAAACAGACATTTTTAATAAATCATAATTAAAAAATAGGTGATCCAAATCGCATTTATTCTTTCTAAGGTTGCGTACTTTTTTATCTGTTTTAAACTACCTAGTTACAAACATTTTTTCTGGGGTTTGATGTTGGTGAATAAACACTTGTACATAATGACTCATTTGGACAGCAGCTCTTGTTTTGAGTGTGTGTGTGTGTGTGTGTGTGTGTGTGTGTGTGTGTGTGTGTGTGTGTGTGTGTGCTCATTAACCAATGATGGTTCCAGTGGAGTCCTAAAAAAATGTCATCTCTACTTTTAGGACCTGTGAAAGTCAGCTCCAAAACAAAAATAAATAGTTCATCTAAAGAGGTATTCATACGTTCATACTTTAGGTCTACTTTTGCTAGAACCAGATTGGACCCCCTTGCGTCTTCAGAACTACTTTAATTCTTCCAGTTGGAAATTTCTCTCAGAGATTTTGCTTCATTTTGGCAAGATATCATCATCCACAGTGGCAGATATAGGATTATTCTGAGTGTGGGGCCATCAAAGGGCCACAGTACTTATGTGGGGGCCAAATATTAGTCCAACATCCTTACACAAGGTTTCACATTGTAACTTCCTATTCGCCTAAATAGTTCCACAAGTTTTTGGACTTCCAAATGCATCAAGCTGTGGGGGATGGTCTGAGTTTGGAGCATCCAGAGGTTCTCTAGAGGTGGGTTCACTGAGGGGCTTCTACCACATTCTGGTGGTGTCTGAGTGACGTTGGGGCGGGGGGGGGGGGGGGGGGTCCTCCTGGCGGCCATGTGTGGGGGCCTTGGGAGGTTTTTGACAGCAGCCACGGGCCACTGCCTGATAGCTGTATCACTATCAGGGGTCTTCTCACACCTCTGTTCTCGGTTTGCTTGTTCGGGGTTGGAGGCTAGGAGAAGGAGCTGGTTTGGGTCTGGGGTGGTGGGACACTTTGCTCTGCGTTGGGTGGGGAGGCCTACTCATCAGTACCCCAGCAAGTTCAAGAATAGCTCTGGTGTCTGAGAATTCCAGCTCAGTGTTCAGAGCTCGGCCTGCCCTGAAGTGGGAAGCTGCAGGCGGGCCTGGGGGCTTGCCGTTATTGGGCCTCTGGCATGGCTGCTGGTTCAGTGAGAGAGTAGGAAGCTGTGTGCTTCATGTCAGAGTCTCCAAAACAACACTGCTCATGGCCACCTAATTTAAGGAGGACACCACAAACTTCTCTGTGTGTCTTTCCCTGCCCACGTGTTCGGAGAACTCTGTGTTCCTGAGAAGGCTGTGTGAGCAAAACATAGCTGCACGGGGTGGGCCGACCTGACCAAGACCTGACTGGGCTGAACCAGATGTGAATGCTCCATAAGGGCTCCCAACCAGGTTAAGACTGACCCCTCCACCACCATTACACCAGCAGCAAGCCTGAAGCACTGCAGGATGGATCCAGTCTTTCATGTTTACATACATTACACGTTTTGACCTGAGTATCTGAATTTTGCAGATGAAATCCAGACTCATCAGACCAGAAAACATGTTTTCTGTGTCTTATGGTCCAGCTCTGGTGATCCTGGGTAAATTGCAGCCTCAGTTTCTTGTTATTAGATGGCAGCTGGTGTGGTCTTCTACTGCTGGAGTCCATCTGATGCAAGGTTGTAAGGTTTGGTTCATGACCTTGGTTGTAACAAATGGCTCATTGCCTGTTCACCTCTGACCTCTGACATCAACACAACTGCTGCTTCTTGTATATTTTTCTCTCATGCTCTGTAAAGCTTAAGGCTGCTGGTGGAAAACAGTCCTAAAAATACTCAGACCAGCCCATCTGGTACCATTACCCAGTGACTTCAAACCTTTTTTTTTCCTCAATCTGATTTGGTTTGGTTGGTCTGGTTTGAATGTCTAAATGCATTGAAGCCACCATGAACCATGTCATGTCAAGAAGACAACAGAGGTTGCTGTGGATGCTAGGAAGCACACAGCCCCACACCCCCCATAACCCTGTCTGCTACTCCCATCACAATGGTGGACTCATGTCGTTTCCTGGGCATCACCCTCACCCAGGACCTCAAGTGGGAGCCCACCATCACCCCCTTCATAAAAAAGGTCCAGCAGAGGATGTACTTCCTGAGGCAGCTGAAGAAATCAGTCCAGTCAATGAGGCAGTTCTACACTGCTATCATCAAGTCCATCCTCACCTCTTCATTCACTGTGTGGTATGCTGGAGCTACCACCAGGGACAAGGAAAGACTGCAACATGTTGTGCGTTCTGCTGATAAGGTCATTGGCTGCAAATTCCCCTCCATACAGGACCTGTACACCTCCAGGACATTGAGGCGTGCAGTCCAGATCACAGCTGACCCGTCTCACCCTGGACACAGTCTCTTCGGCTTGCTCCCATCTAACAGGAGGCTCCGAACCATTTGGACCAGAATCTCTCGCCACAAAAACGGTTTATTCCCCTCTACGGTCAGACTAATGAATGTCAATCATAGAATTGCCCACTCCAGCTGATTTGTTCAGTCACATGACCCTGTGTTGTGTTTGCACCTGAACTGATTTGCTCTGAACAGTACCACTGACTTGTATAAAGTAGCTACTTCACTAATTATTGATTCCCTATATTATTATCATTTCATTTAGTCTAATTCTTAATTCTAATTTTGCTTATCATTTATTTTTCTTGCACCAAGTACCACAGCAATTTTTTAATGTAGTGGTTTCTCACACTCAAGGCAATAAACCCCTTCTGATTCTGAAGAAATTGGCCAATGCCGATCAGTTGTTTGCCAACAAATAATCAAACACTTGTACCTAATAAAATGGACAGTGAGTGTTTTTATCAAAAGTAAACCAGTGTGTGGATTTGTGTGTACTGATTGTGTTGTAAAGCACCTTGGGGGTTGTAGAGCAGAAGGTGCTTTATCAAATGCAGGCCACTTACCATTTAAATTTAAAAATAAACATGAATTTTGTAAGTCCTGGTGGTGAATAAAACCCAGATTCATACAAATATAATGTGCTGTTGGTCCAAATGCATTAGAGGCCAGAACAGAGCAGAAAAACAACAACACACTTTTTCACAGTCTTGGTTGAATCTGCATAACTCACCTGAGTGCAGATGACAGAGTCAGCCCCGTGTGGAGTTATGTCCCCAGGAGTTAGACCTATTCCTCATGCTGCTCTGTGGAGAGACGGGTCATCCGTAAATAACATGTTCAGTTTAAACCAATAAACTTAATCAGAAACCGAACAATCTGCTGATCCAGCAGCTGCACGGGGGAAGCATGCTAATAAAACACCACTGTTTGATAGTAAAGACAAATCAAAACGCCAAGTTACAAAGGATGTGCAAGATAACTTGATTTGGAGCTTAAATTGGAGCTCTCCATCAGCAGCAACCCGTGCAGGGGGGCTTTGGTCCATGCACGCGCACAGCGGCTCCAGGAATACTCACAGAAAGCCCAGAATCTCAGCTGGATCCTGGTCCCAGCCCGACCACCCTGCACCACTTCAACAGAGCAAGACACTCCGTGTGCCATCCACACAGCAGGCTCGGCTTGTTGCGCTGGTGTCTTGGAAATGACGCGTATCTTCTCACTTCTTCTGTATTCTTTTTATTTTTCCTCCTCGCCTGTGACAGGTATTCTACCTCAGCAAACTTAACACTGCCCTATAATCTCACTGAATCCTTGTATCACCACCGCGACTCCCTCCGCATCTCAGTGATCTCTCCAAATTCTCGATTGTTGATGCGTAAAATAATAAATTAAAAAAAGAGATTTCCCCTGTCCTCATTCGCCCAGCTTAGTCAGAAATTCGTCAAAACATCCAGATCCAGGGGTTTTCTTTTGTACAAAATCAAATAAACTGGAAAAAACAAATTTCCTTGCTTCTCTGTCTGCGCTTGATAACGCAAAGAACCAGTAAAGACCGCACATGAGAGAATAGGCGTGAATGAATGAAGACGCAAAACAAACCACACGGATCAGGACAAGATGGACAGAGGAATGGTGGCAGACAGGAAAGAGAAGTGTGGTGTTATGCAAATGGAAGTCTTACTCTGGCGGTGTGGGCAGCATTGGCACAAGAAACGATGAACGACAAGGAAAAGCAGTAACACTGCAGAAACAGGGGAGGAGACGTGCGGGAGCAGCGTTACATGCACGGCTGGTCCTCCTGACTGCGCATCAGGAGTCCAGGATGAATGAACGCTTCACCCTCACATCCACAACACCTCACTTACTGATGCTGCCCACATCACCTGCTCTTAAAGACGGAGAAAATGGTTTTCATTATAAGTCCCCCCGATGTTGGTGTGCCTGCTGTGGGTGGCGGGTTGGTGGGTGTTATAGTCTGAAGGGTTATATTTAGCGCAAATAATAATACTAAATAAAAACGTGAAAGCCAGTCCATAATTCCGCCATCAATTAACTATATTTCTAAAAAGGTTGTTCATAATTAAGTAAGTAATTTATAGGCCTGTTGGTCTGAGTAAGAAGGTTCAAATCTCCGCTGAAAGGCTCCATCCATCCATGCATCCATCCCAATGGGACCTGTTTGGAACACCTCCTCCTGATCAGATGCCTGAACCATCTCAGCAGACCCACAGCTCCACTCTCTAAGCTCATCATCTCTAAAGCCAAGCCCATGGATGTTCATTCCTGCATCTGTCATGACTCCCATCTTTCAGCCTTCATTTAGCTCACCCAATCCCCTCACCAAGCTCCTAACAAGCCCTGTTTCCCCTGGCGACCACTATCTACTCCATTCATCTCACCTGTTCCTGTAATTAGATCCATCCAGCTACCCAGTCATTGCCAGATTATTGAAAGCCCACACAAGTAAATGACATTGAAAATATTGATGGTGTGGATGAATTGATGGAGTTACGTTGGCACGTCGTGCTCTGGTAGCCAGATCTGCTTGGAGTTTTAGAAGAAGAAGAAGAAAATATCATTTCTATAGCGCCTCTCAAGATAAAAATCACGAGGCGCTTCACAAAAATAAAAAATAAAAAAAAAATTGTAAAAATATAAAAAATCACTTAGAAAATGTTTAAAAATATATTTAAAATGAGCAAAAATAGGCAATTGGGATTTAAAAGAAAAATGTTAAGAAAGAGAGAGAGTGAATAGGAAAGAGGGAAATCAGTGGATCCTGAGGAAGGTGGAATAGGTGAGGAATAAAGAGAGAGTGGTGAAGAAGCTCATACAAAAACCAGCTTGAACAAGTGAGTCTTCAGCTGCTTTTTGAAGGAGACCACTGAGTCCACTGATCTCAGACTCAGGGAGAGAGAGTTCCAGAGTCTGGGGACCACAGCAGCAAATGATCTGTCACCTTTGGTCTTCAGCCTGGTGCATTGCACAACCAGTAGGCTTTGATCACTGGACCTCAGGGACCTGCTGGGGGTGTAGGGACTAAGAAGATCACCAATGTAAGATGGTGCTTGTCCATGTAAGGCCCTATAGACCAGAACCAGGATCTTGAAATGAACCCTGAAGTTGACTGGCAGCCAGTGAAGCTGGAGGAGAAGCGGGGTGATGTGGGTGTATTTGGAGGACTTGGTCAGAAGCCGAGCACAGGCATTCTGAACCACCTGTAGAAGGTTCAGGGAGGTTCTGACACGAAAAGAGAGTTACAGTAGTCTAAGTGTGAGGAGATGAAGGTGTGGAGAACTGTCTCAAGTTCAGAGTGAGACTAAATGGAACTCAGCTTAGCAATGTTCCTGAGATGGAAGAAGGAAGAGCGAACAAGAGAACTGACATGAGAATCCAGGGTGAGATCTGGGTCAAAGGTCATGCCAAGATTCCTGACAGAAGGTTTGGTGTGGGAAGCAAGCTGACCAAGAGAGTCTCTGACTTTGGGAACCAGCTTGTCTGGGGCACAGATGAGGATCTCAGTCTTATCTTCATTCAGCTGAAGAAAGCTCCCAGCCATCCAGGTTTTCATAGAGTCTAAGCAGGTGTGTAACAGCTGCAGCTTAGACATCTCATGGGGCTTAAAGGAGATGTACAGTTGGATGTCATCTGCATAAAGATGGTAGGAGATTCCTTTGAAGGAGCTCAGGATGTGCTGAAGAGGAAGCAGATAGAGGAGGAAGAGCAGAGGCCCCAGCACATAACCTTGTGGGACACCATGGGTAAGGGAGGTGGTGGAGGACCTAAACTTGGAGACGGCCACAGAAAAGGAGCGCTCAGAAAGATAAGAGGAGAACCACTCCAGAACAGTTCCTGATAGGCCTACCCAGTCTCTCAGCCTCTCCAGTAGCAGGTGATGGTCAACAGTGTCAAAGGCTGCAGTCAGGTCCAGCAGGACCAGAACAGAACAGTCCCGTGCATCACTGTGAGTCAGAAGGTCATTAGAGACCCTAAGAAGAGCTGCTTCAGTAAAATGAGCTCTACGAAAACCTGACTGGAATCTATCATATATGTTATGTTCATCAAGAGCAGCTGTGAGTTGTTTAGCCACAACCTTTTCCAAGATCTTGGAGATGAACAGAAGTTTAGAGATGGGTCTGAAGCTGCTATGGAGAGAGGGGTCGAGACTCGGTTTTTTTAAGAAGCGGGTGGATTACAGCGTTCTTAACATAAGCTGGGACCTGACCAGAAACCAGAGAAGCATTAATTATAGAGAGCACGCTGGGACCGATGGATTGAAAAGCACTTTTAAACTAAGATGAGAGTAAGATGTGGAGGGGGCATGCAGAGGTCTTCATAGAGTTAACTAGTTTGGTTAACTCAGGCAAAGAAACAGGAGCAAAGCTATCTAGGATGATGGGCCTGGTTGGAGTCGGGAGAGGCAGCGATAAGGCTGAAGGAGAGATGCTAGATCTAACCTTATTGACTTTGTCCACAAAGAAAGACAGAAAGTTCTCACAGTCTGTAACAGAGTGGATGGAGGCTGTAGGAGTGGCAGGAGAGACGATGCTGCTGATGGTGTTAAACCTCACCTTGGGGTTCCCTTTGCTCTGGGACAACAGGTTGGAGAAATAGGAAACCCTGGCTTCTCTGACTGCAGAGTTAAAGGATGACAGAAGATCCTTTAGGTGCAGCAGATGGACGTGGAGATGAGTTTTCTTCCACAAGCGCTCAATTTTTCTACATTGGCACTTTAGGCTGTGAAGGCTGTCATTAAACCAGGGAGTAGGGTTCACTGCAGGAACTGATCTGGTTCTTACAGGACAGATGTTGTCCAGAATGGAGAGGCAGTGCTCGTTAAACAGAAGTTAAGGAATCTGGGTCGTTATCAGAAGAACAGGGTGGATCAAAAGCAGCAGAAAAATTGCTAGCTGTGCTCTCATTAAGAAAACGAGAACTAACCATACGGCGAGCAGGAGGTGGGGACGCAGAAACTGACAAGGTAAAGAAAATGCAATGGTGATCTGAAATATAAACGTCCTCAGGACAAACACTGTCAGCATTTAGACTCAGGGTAAAAACAAGGTCTAGAGTGTGCCCCCTGGTGTGTGTGGGGCCAGAAACATGCTGGGTAAAGCTGAAGGAGTCCATAAGGCTGGAGAAATTCATGGCAAAGTGATCAGAGGGATCATCAACGTGGATGTTAAAATCACCAACAATCACCAGTCTGGACAGCTTCACAGTGGAGGATAGAAAGTCACTAAACTCCTGAAGGAAAGAGCTGTTTGGACCAGGTGGACGATAAACCACAGCACAGTAGAACGGGTCCTTATGCCCGACTTTAATCAGCTGCAGTTCAAATGAAGCAAAGTGACCAGAGGTTGTAGAGCTACATGGAAGATGGTCTCTGAAAACAATAGCTAGGCCTCCACCATGACCAGAACCCCGGGGCTGGCTAAGAAAAGAATAACCACTAGGGCAAAGTTCAATCAGAGCAGAATAATCAGATGTTTGCTGCCAAACTTCAGTCAGAAACTGAAAATCCAGGTTTTTAGAGAGAATTAGATCATTGAGCAGGAAGGTCTTATTATTAACAGAGCAGGTGTTCAATAGAGCTATGCTGAGTGAGGTGGAGGAATCAGAAACTACAGAAACAGCTGGAGTTAGTGGACGTAAATTAGCAGGGTTAGATCCACGATGTTTATAAAAAACCACTTATGGAGGGAACAGGAGGAGAAACCACTGAGGAATGAGGATAAACCGACCTTAAAAAACTTGGACGGATGAACCGCGTCCCAACGCGGCCTGGCGGGAATGTGGAAGTGGCGCTCAGGTTACCAAACAAAGGACAAGAAGCTAGAAGATCACGCCGATGATTACCAGATAAACCACTCTTTAAGAGAAGTCTTATTCTCACCTGGATTCCTGCTCGTTTACCTCTTTTCCTCCGACGTTTTCCCGGGACCGGACAAACATAGCCGGAGGCGGGCAGCTCGGGACTGTCAATTGGTTCCGGGCCGATGTGCCACTCAGGTAAACAAACAGGATGGTACGTCCTCGATGCATCTTGGGCGATCGTGAACAAACGAAAGGACAGAAGAGTTTAGCGATCATAGGAGATGGTAGCAGGGACACTACTGAAGAGGATCACAGACAGGAGCAAGGTGGAAAAGAGGAGGTTAGTGGAGAAAAGTTTGAAAAAGTGGCCGGTGACTGCGGCTAAGCCAAGCACAGGCGCCATCTTGTTGCCGACCGGAAGCGGAAGTGAGGGTCCAGTTCATTTGGGTCTGGACGTCCTGTGGTTTCTGCCGTGGTTGCGGGGGCTCTCCGGTTTGCCTAGGGCCTGGTCCGGTCCCTACTCTTCAGACTACGCTGTGTGGGAACACAGTGCTCATTCATCCTTTTTGAGATAGCGTCTCGTGTGTTTTCTGACCAAGGTTCAATGAGGTTCAGTATTCAGCCAGCTCTAAAAATCCTCTGATGTTCATCATTGCTAAGTGGAGTACGGACCGGCCATCTGTGCTTTTTACTTATAAGTTGAGAACTGAATGAGTTTTATTAATTATTATCTTGTTATTATCATGTGACTTGAAGTGTCCTCTTCCTGAGATGGAACAGCAGCAGATATGGTGATATGTTCTTGCAGACATCGTGTCTCCTTGGGTTAATCTGTGGATTTAAAAGTACTGTTTGACC